CGAAGCCCCCCCACGGCGGCCCCCCCCCCCCAACACCAAGAATACAGAGCATTACTGGCCCCAGACTGAGAGTTCATATAAGAATACAAGAGAAGCCAATGTTGGATCAGGCTAGTGGTCCATCCAGTTCAACAGTCTGTGTCACACAGTGGCCAAAAATACCAGGTGCCACCAGGAGGTCCAGCAGTGGGGCCCGGACACTAGAAGCCCTCCCACTGTTGCCTCCCCCCCCCCAAGCACCAAGATTATAGAGAATATAAGGACATAAGAGAAGCTAATGTTGGATCAGGCCAGTGGCCCATCCGGTCTGACACTCTGTGTCACACAGTGGCCAAAACCCCGGTGCCATCTGGACGCCCACCTGTGGGGCTAGAACTCCAGAAGGCCCTGCTGCCAGTGCGGAGGTGGCTTCCCTTCTCGCTGACCCTCCGCTGTAGGTTTCAGTAGGCCCTGCCTTGGCTGACATTGAGGCCTTTTCAGGTGTGCTGGACCACCGGGAGGGCCTGACCACGCTGGGCAAGCGCCTGGCTCAGATCTCCACCGACCCACGCCTGGCCAAGGCCATCGTGCTGGCCTCCATCTACCGCTGCATCCACCCACTCCTGGTCATCGTCTCCTGCCTCACACGGGACCCTTTCAGCAGCAGCATGCAGAACCGCACGGAGGTGGACAAGGTGAGAGGGGCAGGGAGGAGGCCGCGGCAAGGGCGGGGCAGGGCTCAAGCGAGGAAGGGTCCGCCGTCCACCTGACCCTCACTGGGCCTTCCTCTTTCCTAGGCCAAAGCCGTCCTGAGCCAGGAGAGCGGCAGCGACCACCTGGCGTTTGTCCGGGCCGTGGCGGGCTGGGAGGAAGTTCTGCGCCGCAGGGACAGCCGGGCGCGTGACAACTACTTGCAGGACTACCTGCTGTACGCGCCCAGCCTGCGCTTCATCAACGGTGAGAGTCGCTAGAGGGACGACAGTGTATGCCACAGTTGTATAGACAGAAACAATGCCACCGTAAGAATTCGCGCCAAAGGTTTTGTGAAATACATCTAATCCACATAAAGGGCTGATGTGGCTTAGAGGTTAAGACGCTGATTTGCAGACCGGAAGGCCTGTAGTTTGGCAGTTCGAGACCCTATTGCAGCGCGACGGAGTGAGCTCCCATCTCTGGCCCCAGCTCCTGCCAACCTAGCAGTTCGAAAGCAAGAAATTGCAAGTAGATGAATACCACTTCGGTGGGAGGGTAACAGCGTTCCGTGCCCCTTGGCGTTTAGTCATGCTGGCCACGTGACCACAAAGAAGTCTTTGGGCAGCGCTGGCTCTTCGGCTTGGAAACGGAGATGAGCACCGCCCCCTAGAGTCAGATTCGACTTGGTTTCGAGCAAGGGAAACGTTTACCTTTAAGTCACGTAAACCATTATACTATTATTTCCTACCAATTAATAAAGCCATTGAACAATCAAATATCCATTTCCACAAGCATTGAAGTGTAATACACTCCATACAAGGTGGGTATAAATGTGAAAAATCATCAAACTCATCAACTAATCAAAACGCAGTATAAAAAGGGTTTATCAGATCACACGAGGATCCTGGGTATACACTCTCTCCTTTCAAATATCTTCTTCAGTTGATACTAACAGCAATAGGCTACAATTCGTAAGTAATATACTCTGCAAACTTCTTTAATCCCATGATAGATGGCAACTAGCCGCAAATACCTCTTCAGTCGGTTTATATTATTTTTAAATCTGGACACCATTACACAACTTCAGGGTGAAATTAATCAGAACATGACGGTGATGGCAGTTATATCTTCTACCGTGGCAAAGGCAGGGGTGGACCATTACGGGACCCTTTCTTTTTCCCGCTCACCAGCATGATGCTCCCTTCCGCTTCCGCCTCCACAGGTCTCGTCAAGCAGTTCTCAGAAAATCTCTACGAGGCTTACCTGGTGCCGACCCCCTCGGACTGCCTCCTGCCCTCGTCCGCGTGCAACCAGTACAGCGAGGAAGAGGAGCTGGTGAAGGGCGTTCTCATGGCTGGGCTGTACCCCAACCTCATCCAGGTGAGACCCCACCCTTTCCCTCCCTGCTTGGCCGCGGAGTCTCTGGCTCTGGGGGGAAGGGGTGGCCGAGCCAGAAGGACCCTCGTGCTCCCTCCCAGTTTTGTATCGAGAGTCCTGCACCTCACCCGTTGCAACCTGGAATGAAGGAGGGGTAGTTGTCGAAGGCTTTCACGACCAGAGTTCATTAGCTGTTGTGGATTTCCCGGGTTGTCTGGCCGTGGTCTTGGCATTGTAGGGCCTGACGTTTCGCCAGCAGCTGTGACTGGCATCCTCAGCAGTATAACACCAAAAGAAGGAGCACTCTCTGTGTCAAGGTGAGAAGAAGAAAAGAAAACCCTCCTCAGGAAACAATCCAGATGCAAAAGAACCTCCTTAGGAAACAGACAGTCCATATACAAAAGAACCTCCTCAGGATAGCTCCTCTATTAGCATGTTCCACAGCCTGGGGAACTCCTATATGATAATGACTCAGCCCTACCGCACCTTCCTGAGTAGATATAAATTACCTGCATACCATTTTTCTTCTCACCTTGACACAGAGAGTACTCCATCTTTCTGTGTTATACCTCTGAGGATGCCAGTCACAGCTACTGGCGAAATGTCAGGTCCTACAATGCCATGACCATGGCCAGACAACCCAGAAAATCTACAACAGCTAATGAGGGGTAGGTTGCGCAGGCGGAGTGGGCCACTCTGTCCTTCCTGGGTCTTGGGCCAGAACCATATAGAAGCGCTGGGGGGTGAGGGGGACGTACCCCACTCCAAATGCCTTGTCGAGCACCTCCCTTGTCTTCTGGGTCTTTGTCATGACTCCCTTTAAAAAAAAAATTAAACTTTATTGTAGATAATTACATATACAACAATATTCAATACAAATTCAAAACATGTAAAAGCAAATGACTAGTACAAATAACAGTATAATGATAACATACTGTGAAAAGTAAATGTATTAACAATCAATGTATAACGTGTATCAGTAAATTAAATTTAATGTATTCCAAAGGGAGGAATATTCAGTATGGTTAAACAAGTATTCCAGGAAAAGAAACCATGTTATGTTTTTTTTAAGAGTTTTATTTAAAATTTTCACATCATCACTGATACATATATCAGTTACATTAACTTGATTACAATACTGTGATTACAATGCTTGTTTTCTAACCAGGTATATAATCTATACCATCTATCTCTAAAAAAATCTTCGTCTTTTCCTTGAAAAGTTAATGATAATTTATCCATCTCCGCTATATCCAAAAACCTATGAATTAGTTCTTCCTTTGAAGGTATTTTCTCTAATTTCCAATATTTGGCAAACACAATACAAGCCGAAGTTAACATATACATTATAACATATTGATCTCTTCTTTTTTTTACATTCATCTGGTAACATATTTAACAAGAAAATTTCTGGTATATATGGTAAATCTATATCCATGATTTCTTTTATTAATTTATGTACTCTACACCAATAATTTTGTGTTATATTACATCTCCACGAAAAGAAACCATGTTGAAGTAAAACCTGAGTGCAAAGAATCGTTTTGTCTAGATAAGACAGAGTCAGAAATTTCGTCCATTAGACAAAATTCACACACTTTGAACAGCCATTCATTTAACAGTTAAATTTGTGGAGTGCTTCCAAGGTTGGGCTATTACAATCCTGGCAGCTGCACAAAGGAGGGGAATTAAATCTTTACGAAGTGTGAGTGGAGGGGTGAGTCTCCGTGTGTCTAACAGTAAGGCGTCTATAGTAAAAGGTATATGGATAGATGTGATATCATAAATTTGTTGAACAACCATGAGCCGAAATGCTTGGAACCTCCCTTCCCGGGACTGCCTCCGTGGGGCAGGGGTCCGAGAGGAGGAGCCGCAGGAAAGGATGTTGCTCTCTTCAGACTTTGGGGGGGGTTGTGTGCTGAGCCTGGGAAGCCCCTTTGGTCTGGGCTGCATGCACTTCCTGGTTCCACTCCAGCACAGGACGTAGTAGCTATCCCTGATCTCAGTGTGCCGAATGTCTTGGGAGGAGAAATTTAAGCACATGATTTTCAGTGGGCAGACACAAAGCAGGACTGCGAAAAAGGCGGCGTTCTCCAGCTTTTGTAGGTCTTAGACTTCTTGTTGTTGTTCAGTCGCACAGTCGAGTCCGACTCTTCGCGACCCCATGGACCAGATCACGCCAGGCCCTCCTGTCTTCCGCCATCCTCTGAAGTTTGCTCAACTTCATGTTCGTTGCATCTGTGACACTGTCTAACCATCTCATCCTTTGCCATCCCCGTCTTCTTTGACCTTCAATCTTTCCCAGTCTGAGAGGAGGTGTGTGTGCAAAAAAAAAAAAAAATTGGCCCAATTCTGATTTGACCAAATTGGGCAGAAACAACGTCTGCCAGCAGAAAGACTCCCGCATGTCC